TGTCTATTGATGCTTACTTGAAAAACAAAATTTAATTAAACCCCACAGTACTGCATTGCCTGCCTTTGAAATATGCCTGCATTAGTGGATCATTACAGTAAATGAAATACAGCTTCATATCGGATTTTTCAAATAACGTCCTAAAACTGTTACAAATTAAATAATATTCCTGCAGAGAGAAATTAAGAGACAGTGTTTTTAGCAAGGGCAAAGGGAGGTTTACAGATGAAGTCTGGAATGAGACGTGGAGGCAATGAGGCAGAGAGGTGCCACAGGGCTCTTCCAGACCTTGTTGGGAGGGTTCTGCCTACCAGAAATTAGACAAGGAAGGAGTGTGCCAGGACCAGGCACATGGAAGGGGCAGTGTCCCAACTCCCCAAGAATGTCAGCATGACCAGACAGGGTTTTGGGGTGTGCTGGCACAACCAGAGAGGTGTTTCTGCATGGGGGAGAGCTCCTCCAGCCACACACCCTCCACGTGCTTTGCAAACCCAGCTGAAGCAGCCTCATAACCACTCAAGGCACTGAAAGCCTGGACACTCAGTGGCCAGGGAAAGGGAGGCAGGAAGGTGCTGATCTGGCAGGATGAGAAATACATACCCAGGGAGGAGAAAAGCAACAGGAGCTTTGTTATCTCGGGGTAAGTAAAAGCACAAGTGGGTCAGTGAGTCAGCGTTGGGCAATGCCTGATGTGGAACAGCAAAGCAAGTGAATATTGCATGAGCCTCACAGCTCTGGCTTGAAGAGATCTTCTCCTTAATAGCACCTGGGCTGATGCCAAGTGTTCTTTGACAATTTATTTACTCCAAGAAATCATTTTCCCTAAATAACAGGAGCCCATTACCGCATCTTTCTTCGTGTGAGCCTGGAAAAGGCTGCGCCCTGCAGCAACTGCGGCCTCATCTCCATGGTGATGCACCAACACACACACATTGACTCCAGCAAGAAGGCAAACGTCCCCAAAGGAGAGGCTGAACCTCCCCAAAGGAGAGGCTGAAGCTCCCCAAAGGGAAAGGCTGAATTTCCCCAAAGGAGAAGCTGAAGCTCCCCAAAGGGAAAGGCTGAACCTCCCGAGGGAAAGGCTGAAGGTGGCAGAGCTCTCCCCAGCACGAGCCCTGGGACAAGGCGCGCTGCAGATGTTGGCAGGCAGGGCTTTCCCAACAGGCAGAGCATGTCAGCCTCTGAGCAGGCTGGAAATAAAAAAACCTTGCAAGTGCACCTCTGGATCCATCTTATAGGAAAACAGTAGATTTCCAGCTGCTGCCCATGCCAGAGAGACAAGTTCCTGTAGTTCTCATCAGCCTGTGAATCAATTATTTATAGGAAGAAGGTTCCGCATATAATCACTGAAAGCTGTCAACTTCCAGCCCACGCAGAGCTTCCTCTGTGGAAAGGCTGCTGCTCTGTGAACCAGGGACTCCTCACCCTTGCATGTCACAGGATTAAAATGAGCAGCAGTGGCATGAGGGGATCCATTACACTATCAGAAACAACGAGCACCCCAAGGCACTAACAGCACACAGCAACAGCAAAATCCACAGGAATACAGCAAATGCAGCCCAATCCTTCCTAAAGAAGTACGGTGGTGAAAGGGCGTTGGGAGTGGTGTAACTGAGCTGGCACATGGAGCAATTGGGGAAGGAGACTCTGACAAGGTTCTGTGGGGCCAGACTGTCAAAGGCAAGCACAGCAGGCAGGCTGAGCCCAGTGCTCTCCTGCCCCCACACCAAAGCCTCTGTAGGGATCAACAACTCTCAGCCACTCACCTGCACCCCCAAACACTCCCCCACCAGGAGATTCTGCCTTTGTGCTTCCCAGGCTGTGGCAAAGCCTCTCCTGACACTTAAGAGCAGCACAAGCAGCTCACATAGAGGATGGATATTGCTGAGCCTTCCCAAGGAGGGAGCAATTCACCAGTGCCACCTTTATCAGGCAGTGGGAGCGTGCCAAGAGCATGGCAGACAGAGGTTAAAAATGAGCAGGCTTCACACTCCCAGGTATTGCAGCAAATGTGCTCATCCTCAGCTCACCAGTGCACTTCTGAACACAGCCAGAATGAGGTCTGGATGTTTAAAACACACCAGAGTGCTGCTCCCAGTTTGCTGGAGGAAATAAAGGGAGGGGGATGTCCGATAGGGAGGAGGGGACATGGCACAGGAACCCCTGGAGGTGCCCTGCTTCTGCAGTTCAAGGTTAAACACCTCCTTTGCACTCATTTCTGAATCTGCCTCTCTCTAAAGCTGCACCAGGTAATTAGAATCATTATAACTATTATTAGACCATAATATTATTATAGCATTTTTGCTACACTTGACATCTGTTGGCTGATAGATTTAACTGGTACATAAGAAATAACTGTGCAGAGATTTCTTGCAAATGAGCAGCAACACGGAAGACATTAAAGCATTCTGCATTCAAAAAGTTAATTTTATGGAAGTACGCTTGAAATAAAAATTCTAAAATTAAGTTAAACCTTTAAAACCTCTCGTTAAAGGAATTATTTGGGCTTAAAGCAGGCAACCATTTAAAAAATCCTGACTTCTATTTAGATGTTTAAAGGCATATACATGGCTTGGTATCTCCTTCAGCTCAACATATGCATCTTCTTCCCATCAACTCCAGAGATTTCTAAATCATCCTTCCATCTTCCTTTCCCTCTCTCTGCAGCAGGCACTTGAATTATTTGGGCAGAGTCTGACTGCACAGGGAACCAGTATAATCAGGGCTCTTACAACCTGCTGTCTGCAAATCCTATAGAATTATCAGCAAACACACATCTAGAATAAAATACAGCTTTCCTGCAGCCCATGAAGCCCAAAGGGCTTTGCAAACTAGACTTGGGATGCAATTTATCCACCACTGAGATTCAGCTGTAATCCAGAGTGGAACACAGCCTTTCCATCCATATTTAACTACAGCACACAGCCCCCTGGAGAAAAGCAGGGAAGAATCCAACACAAGTCATAGGAATGTTTTAGGGAGACTGAATTTTCTCCCCTGGAACTGAAATTAGGCCAGGGCACTCACCGAGTTGGACCCAATGATGCTTGTGGGTGCCTTCCAACTCGGAATATTCCCTGATTCTATGGCTCTACCATCAGCCATAGAATTGGACCAATACAGGAGGACAAAGAGGACACAGTGTCTCCATCCTGTTGATGGAGCCCCTGAAGCACATCTGGAGTGAACAGCTGGGTATCACAAGTTACCAGCCTGGAAAGGAGAAAAACATGAACACCACAGAGGAATCCTGTGTTGTTCTTAAATTTGGTAGGGTCCGATTTTCACCCCACAGTTACACCCACATGCAAAGCAAGATGGAATAGGGGGTGGAAGAGCACTTCACAAAAGGACCAATTTTTAAACTTCAGTCTGCTCAGTACTCACAGACCTTGGGGAGGGTAGAGCTGGTCCTGCTTGGGCAGTGACATTTGTTCCAGTGAAATCTATTTCATCTCAAGTTTAATTTCACCTCTTCCTTAAGCAGTTGGCACTGAGGTGACAGCAAAGCCCTGGTGCAATGAGGTATCCTGCAACCACTCCCACCATGACACACTATCTAGGAATAAAAATGAGTGTCATTAATTTCTACAGAGCAAGTACTTTTTTCTAGGGAAGAGCAACCACACAAGGAACTTGGAATTGCTTGAGGAGAAAAATGTATTTTTGCTACCTTAGTCACATCCAGACAAGCCCAACTCTCATAGAAGAGACCTATGGAGAAACAAAGGGGAGCAGGAGATGCTGGACACAGCTTCCCCCATGCACAGCCCACTGCTGAGGCAGCTCTGAGAGGGAAGCAGGGCTGAGCATTGCCTCAGAGCTGTGCCAGTCCCAGCAAGCATCAGCTAGAAGCCCCAGGTAAATGAAGTTCATGAAAGCTCTTAAAAGTCGTCTAAGCCTTCAGAAGGAGAGCACAATCCCCCACTACAGAGACCTGCCCATCACACCACACCTCTGACCAGCACAAAGCAGGCTTTTCACTCCATCCATCTGATGCTTTCAAAAGCCAGAGGAGCTCGGTCTGGGCAAGCTCACCTTAATGAGGCCCGGTACTCATTACAAACTAAGAAAAAAAAGACCAACCAAAGCCACTCAACCCCACACACTTGATGGGGAGCTATCAGCAATTCCCTGTCACCACAGGAGAAATCCCTGTGTATGGGCCCTGGGAGCTCAGCCCAGGTCTGCTTCTGTTCATCCTTTCCATTAATGGTTTGAACAACGAAAGAGAAAGTGCTTTTATAAAACCTGAAAGGATGCCCAGGAGTTAAGAGCTGGAAGCACTCTGGAGGTCATGATCGGAATTGATAAACTGAAGAAAAGTTCCCAAAACACCCACAAATCAATAGAAAGAAAATCAAGGAAAACAATGCAAAGAAGCGTGCTTGGAAACAGCACAGAGACCAAGCACACAAACAGAGTCCAGGGGAAAGTTCCCCAGAGAGAGAGAGAAGCTGGGGAAAACTGGGGACCAGACTAAATGTGTCAGCACTGTGACACCACAGCTCCAAAGAGCTGAACATCACTCTGTGATCCAGGAACATAAAATATCCAATTCTGGGCTCCATGCTGGATATCACCTCTGAGTCCCACACAAACCAGAGGGTCTGGGCAGCCAGCAGAGCAGTCAGCAGCACAAACCATGCTGCCCCATACCAGCTATGGAGGGGTTTCTCCATCCCTGCTCCATCTGGAGCCGGTACAGCTCTCAGATTTTAACAGGGTTTACTTACAAAGACAAGCAGCCATGGGGCTCCCCATTCTGTGAAGGCAACAGACAAACTGGCTGCTCAGTTTGCTGCAAGGGTGAGTTAGATGAGCTGTCAGGCTGCCTGAGACTGGGATTTCACCAAGGCCCAGAGGGACCTGGGGCCTGCCCAGCCTGGAGACGAGTTTCTCTCACCTGGCTCAGGACAGGGCTGCGGACAAGGACAACACAGCTGCACCAAACCCAACCAGCAGCTTGGGAGAAATCCAAGGGAGCAAAAGCTACAAACCTCATGCAAAAGCAGGGCTTAGCTCTCAGGAACATTTCAGATTTCCCAAAGACTCAGAGGGATTTGGGGTTTTGCTGAGCTGCCTCATGAACTGCAGCCAGAATGGATTTGACAAAGCCTCGGTGAGCAGGCGCCGTCTCCCGTCGCAGGGCTGCTTCCCAGAGATCCCCAGCGTTGTGTCACTTCCCACTTCAGGTGCTAAGAATATCTGAGTGTTCATAAAAAATAGCAACCAGCTATTGAGAACTTATCAACAAAGCGCTCGACAATCTTAATTAAAGCTGATTCACCTCCCTCACGAATCGAGCGTTATTTCTCAGAGGAGAACACTGAGTATAAGAGCTGAGGTGGCTTCTAAAAGCCACGGAGGGAGTCAGTAGCACAGAGGATTAGCACATAGAAAGGCTGACTATTATCCCTAAATTTATCCCAATAATCCATTGCCTCACAAATTCTCAAGGTACAGCTGCTGTGCTTTCAACCCCACCTGCCCAACCCAAGCAGAAGCAGAGACAGGTTTGGGGGTGCTGAAGTTTTCCAGGTGTTTTATTGCTCAGGCTAAAGGAATTCTCCACTGTAAAGATGAAAAAGGTTGTGGCAGTAGCACCAGCCCTGCTTTTGTGCTGCTTCAGGATACACAGGGACAACACTGTGGTTCAAAGGCTGCTCTGACAGTTCACCAGGAATTGCTTCCAGCTGATTTCTTCCGAAGAATTGTATTTGTATCCCTTCAAATTTAGTGAATATGTGGTCACACAGCAGCCTCCAGGAACTCGTAAGACTGCTCTTTTTCACTTCTGGTAGCTGCACTCCTACACTGAAGTTTCTGGGACAGTATTTTGGATACTTCAACCATAGAAATGCCCTAGAGGCTGCTGAAAAAAAAAAAGTGGACCAGACTGGGTCATTTTAAGGCAAGGTTGAGGGAAAGAGAGAAAATCAGAAGTCCATCCCTTAGGAATGCTACTCCCAGAGAACAAATGGATTCAAACGATCACAGGGAGCAGGCACACTGCGGCAGCACGATCACTAAATGACAGGGTGTGTCACCCTGCTCTGGAGACTTATCTGCTCTTAAGAGGCTCCTGTGCACGGAGCAGCCTGTTCCACAGAGCTCCACCAGAGAAATGCCTCTGCAGCTTATCCTCCTTTGGCAGGCAAACTGAGCAGCACCGGTGCAGGCAGCTCTGCCTCTGTGCCGCACTCGGTTTGGGTTAGTTCTAGCAGAAAAACACTGCAGAATAAATAACTTGGCCCTAAGAAGATGTGTCTACAGAACTTGGTGTGAACCCAGACCCTCCTGAAGGCAGGCAGCGTCACAGCTCTGTCAAAGATCACTCCTAATGGAAGTGTTAGTCAAGCACTGAACTTAAGCACTTTAAGGCAACATTACAAACAGTGTTTATATACAAAATCCCATTTGCTCAGTGTTCCCTTCCTGGCCTTGTGCATCGTTTACCAGTTCTCCAGCCAGAGAGCCATATGCAAGCTTGTACCAAAGCAATTAAAAGGGTTTTGAAATTCAGACCTCACGTTACAGAGCGCCCACCCTGAAGAAACATCCATTTCAATATCCCGGACCTGCTCCAGCGGTTCCAGCACGTTTTTATTGCACAGCAGCAATATTGCACAGCAGCCTGGGCACACAGTAGGCCGGAGGTGACCCAGCCCAGCCTCGTGCTCCAGGCAGAATCCAAACTGTGCCCGCTGGGGGAAACTTAAGTGTAAATATTTATGTTTAAAAGCCCTTAGTGTAAGGGATCCCTGTTCTGCCTCCACTGCGTGCCTAAGTGCCCGTCACAGGGCCCGCGTTTGCGGTCCCTGCTGCAAGACCCCAGCCGCAGCAGCGGCCTGTTCTGATGCCGGCCCTGCACGAGCCCCCGGGGCCGGACACGTCCCTAACGGCCCGGCCACGGCCGCTCTGAGGGGAACCGGGCCGGCGGGCAGCCCCCGGGCCGGCAAGGCCTCACCGCCAGCTCCGCTCGCGTGAGTGCAGCGCAGGGGA